GCCACTGCCAGTACACATACACAGTTCTGAGCTACGGTTCAATATGTGTGTCCACGTGCATACATGCATGGAATAGGCTGCATTAGTCTCTTAAAATGATAAGCTTAAAGGTGCCATTTCATTCTTCTTAATGGCTTAATTTAGATTTTCTGTGTGAGGTTTCTTAGATAAAAACTACTTCATTAGGTGCAGTAATGCAGAGAAGTAAAATGTAATAGTTATAGGCAGGAGTGAACCTTCTGTTTTCATTGAAGGATACTGGGCTGCCAGTTCAGAAATTTTGTTTAACAGAAAGCAGTATAAATATTTGCAAATTTTAATTTCATTTTAAATTATTCTGTTAGAAAATATATGCATATATACACCTCTCTCAATGAAATTTTACCTTGCACACTATATCAAGTTATGTTTTTCCACATGGGCCAATGTATCATAGGTAAATTACTGGAATCTCTACTCAGCTGTTCCAAAAATGCTGTTCTAAGACTCCTATAAGCAGCTTGATATAGAATGGTAGTTATATATTTGCCCATGTGTTTTAGGATACAAATCAAGAAAAAAGGTGTTGACAGACTTGGAACAGAATTTTTGGCACAGGTGAGTGGAGATTCCAGTAATCTACCTAAGGCATATTGTGAGTGTCCCTTGTGATGAGAACCATCCCTGTGATTTTGGATGCTGAGTCTCTCTACACTATCATCCAACAGGAGGATGGCTTGCAAGTAACACTGAAGATTGTTTCTGACCATTTTTTTCTATTAGAAACAGTGTTTGATATCACTCTCACTCCATCCTTCCTATCAAGCCAGTCAAAACAGAAGCCCTGTGTCTGGTCTGACAGAAGCCATGCCTGTTGTGCTTCTGCAGTTATCTGCAAACATGTCTGTCTCGAACGGCAACTTTTAATCTTTCTCAGCATATATGCAGCAAATTCCCATCTCAGAACCCAATTAGTCCTCCTTCGTCTCCTCCTCCTCCTCCTCCTCCTCTGTATATTTGTGTGTGGCTTGTGTTACCATTTACTAAATACGTTATGACATAGTATTTACACTAGTCCAGAGCCCGGAGACCTTTGGAGACCTTTGTGGCTTCCGGGCTCTAGGAATTTGACAGATGGATCTGTGCTCCCTACCTATGAAAGCTGCCAAGAGTGGAAAGATTTACTTTATTTGCCTGAACCTTTTCACAGGAACAGAACATGTTAGGTAATATTACAAGAGCTTTATTTAGACCACTGAATTCACAGGGGCTGTGTGGAGAGTTTCAGTTAGTCTATCTCTGGTAATGACATTTCTGAACAGGAAGGGCACTGTATGGTCTCCTCTAAGCTGAAAAAAATGGAATTTGAAAAAAAATCCGCTTCTGGAAGATGGAATAAGCAAAACAAGTTAATGTTGCTGTGTTATATAATTAATAAGTTGCACAATTCATACAGTCCAACTTGATTTGGCATTTGTTTACTGGATAAGCCATGTGCAAAGCCAGATAATACGTTGCAGTTGCAAAGGACAGCCGGACTCTAATTATAGGAAAAAAGTGAGGATGGTTCCATCCCCTGACCTCTTCCAGTTTTAGCCAAATCATGCCTCCCACAACATTTTTGTTAAAAAGAAGTAGCTGATGGGGTGGGGGGGGGGGTTAAGAGAAGATAGCGGGATTGGTACAACCTGCCCCCCGAAACTCAAGCGCTACTCTCTGGTTGTATTGGAGAGGTGGACATTGTGTAGGAAACAGGCAAGGTTCTTTTTTAAAATTTTGCCCAGTGTGATATAGGCACATTCTCCCAGGCCCAACTGCACTTGTCCAAACCTGTTCCACATGTTGCTGGGAATAATTGATGGCAAAAGGAGAAGGGGATGGCAGAGAATGAGGTGGCTGGATGGAGTCACTGGGGCAGTGGGTGTGAGCTTGGGTGGACTCGGAGGGATGGTGGAGGACAGGAAAGCCTGGAGGAATGTTATCCATGGGGTTGCGATGGGTCGGACACGACTTTGCAACTAAGAACAACAAAATTCCACGTGTTACTTCCTCCAAGGAGGCCAGGGTGGCATGCAGAGCTCTCCCTTGTACCTTCCACCCTTGTTAGGGGTGACTTAGTAATTCGCTCAAGATCATCTAGGCAGCTTCATGGCTGCCCTGGGGTTTCCCAGTCATACTGATCACTGCAGCTCCTCCCCACAGTCTCTCCCCACAAAATCCAACAGTGACTTGTTTTTTTTTTTGTGCAATTTTTGAGAAGAAGCAAGGGAGATTTACCTCCCACACCAGGGTACCTGGATATCCTGCCAGGATACCTGGATTTTCCTTCCCTACCAGGATACTTTTCACAGAAGTCAAGAAAAATAGGTGCTTCTGCAGCAGTGGGATTGGTGGAAATCATGCTGTGTGTTCTTCAACCATTGTCACACCTGCACCTCCATGGCCCCCACAGATCTTACTCCAGAAAATCCCAAAACTGTACAATATTGCTTAAAGGTAGGGTAGTGGCTCAAATTTTTCTCTTCCCTCAAACTGGCCATTGGAGATGCAAACCCCCAGAGCTCCTGGCTACTGTTTTTCTTACATTCCAGGACCAATTTGGTGTGGCTGGCATGGCCTGTCCAGGATAAGGGATTGGGACTGGTTTGGCTGTGCCAGGCAGAAAGAGGGCAGAGTGGGACTGTGGCAGAGGTGTGTCCCAAGCACCTCCTTAGGCCAGGACATGCTAACTCTCTCCTTCTTTGCCTTGAGCAAAAACTTGGCACTTCAGCAGCGGGGGTGGAAGGTGGGCTTGTTTGTTAGATGAGCCGGACAACGGCGCTCAGTTTACAGTCAGTTTGAGCCATGCTGGATTCAAAGGGCCAGGAGGCAGAGGAGACCGCACCTGCTCCTTGGAGAAGGAAAAGTGAGATGTCCGTGCACTGGTTTAACCCAAGACTCAAGTTACGAAGTGTCTCCTTCCAGATTGCAGTTTCAGTAATGCTGTGGTTCCAGTTAATCCCCCTTAAGTGTCTGTTGTCATCTTTCTGGCATATAGAGCATTAGGGCCAAACGACACATGACATTAATCATGTGCCTTGCCCTTGAGCGCAGGAATGTTCTTTCACAAGTAGCCAACATGCCCCCCTTTGCCCCTGCTGCAGCCCCAATCAGAATCCGGTTCCTGCGCTACTGATATGTGAAAGTAAAATCCTGCACTCAAGGACAAATCTCGTGATTCATGAAACATGGAATTTGGTCCTAATGTGCTAGAATTATAAGAAGGCAGGGTGTTTTGCAAGTCAGTACTGGGTGGGTTTTAATATTGGGTGCAGTAGTATTTGCTTTTTTATTTCAAAGGCAACTTTCTAGCCTTTATTATTCAGAAGGTGAGATTGAGAATATGTGGGCAGAGACTGGTGTAATTTCAGAGTACTCTGTATGTGTGTGTGTTGCATAAGATTTCTATTCATTGTGGATGCACAATTTTAGTGTTTCATAGTTTCTTGTCACTCTTCCTTGAGTAGCAGAAGGACAACAAATTATGCAAATTGAGTAGGCAACAGCCCCTGTGATGGTTGGCTTAAAGCACAACCCAGTATTGTTGTGCTCAGAAGTATGTCCCTTTGATTCCAGCGAAGTGTGCTTCCAGGTAAACGGGTGTAAGATTGTTGCTTAATGCAGGTTGCAGGATTCATTTTTGAGTTCAGGATTTGATTTGGTGAAGAATTTTGGTTCTGTAGACTACTGAAAGTACAGGAGTCAACATTCTGGCTGTGCCTTTACATTTTACATGCTTGTTGTCAGAATGGAAGAAATCAAGGACTTTGTGAAACAAATGTGTGTTTACTAAATAGTTCACATACTTTCCAAGGAGATGGTGTATGGAATGCATAGTAAATGGTTTGAGGAGCGATTCTCTTATAAACCGATCTATTGCCTCCTAGATTGTGTGCAATATCATTATAATTTCTTAGTAAGTACTGCTGCCTTCAGTGGGTCCTGCTCTCAGGTAAGTGTATATAACTGCAGCCAAAAGTCTGCTCTGTGATTGTCAGATTGGAAACATCCGTAACATAACCTTTCCAAAATACCAGTGTGCTGACATTTCATAGCTTCAGGGTGAAAACTTTTGAACCAAAATGACTCTAACTTAGCAAAGGCTGTGAAACTGGAAATCTGGCTATACTTTGCTTCATAGGTGCTATTAGAAGCGCATGATAATTGAGTAGCGATTTTTGAATCAAGTAGCTCAGTAGAATATTTATGACTGAGTAGTTTAATTTGTTTGTTGCATTCATTAGAGATCTCAGGCAGTTGGAAAACAATGTTGAGGTGAATACCATGAAGAAAAGGAGAGGGGGATCTGTAAAAGGAAAGGAGACTGAATGGCAACCAGTGCGGGCAGTTCATCCACAAGCAGTGCAGAGGTGCTAGGCAAGAAGCAAACTTCATGTTACTCCCCCCGACCCAGGTCTTTCTCTCTGGGTCCCTTCAAACAACTGCCCTTTTGTATTAATCTTAAGAAGAAATAAAAGAAGTTTGCTTAATTAAAAACCTGTCTTTCCTTTACAGAGGCAAAAGAAAAACAGCCATGCTGTCCTGACTCAGAAGGTGGGCTGGGAATGCCTGATTGAGTCTTGCCCTGACAATTCAGCCCACTGTTCAGTGCATCAGCAGTGGCCTCATCTGTTCATTCAAGTGGATGCTGTTCACTCTGCAGAACATTCTGTCCAGAGAGACCCCAATGAAATCAAAGGCTTCTGTTGCGCAGGAAGGAGGAGAGGGATAGAACCAAGGGGGTGCAGAGAGTTTCTTGGCACACCCATTTCCTGACAAAGTGCTCCTTAGTGATCTCAACAAGATATTCTTTCATACAAGATTAAACACACACACGCACACAAATACACAAATACACAACATGATATATTGAGGAAATGGCAAAGAACGTTGAATCACTTTCTAAGTACATGTTGAAGCTTCACTTGCTGGAAAAAACTGCACATTTGGAACAATGATCTTCCTTTGCTTTGTTCTTCTAGATTACAAGAAGCTGCCCAAAGCTGCTATCCTTAATGAGGATTACAGGTGCTGGCCATCCTACCATCACAAGGGGTGTCTCCTTTCTGTATTTGATGTTAGAGAAGCCATCGATGTTTGTGAGAGTCATTCACAGTGCTCAGCTTTTGTTCTCACCAACCAAACCACGTGGACAGGTAATAAATGCCAGCAAGTTAAAGTTACCATTAATCTATAGTACCAGGATGGGCATGCTTGAAAGCTTCTACTGGAGTGGGTTTCCATTTGATGCTTGCTATTTCAAAGTTGAGAAACAAGCCATGTTTGCTGTGGATGCAGTGGCACTGAGAGCTTTTCTTTGACTCTTGCCCCTTGGGGATGAAAGACTCTCCCAGATAAAGGAGGACAAGTATGCCAAACAGCCTATTTTTCTGTAGACTTGGCATCCATCTAAGTTGTGCCACCAACAAGCATGTCACCATCTACACCTCTGAGCTCCTAAAGCATTTTAGTTTCCCGGCCACCATGCATTATTTTATTATTATTTTACTCATTTAACTTACAAGTCACCCCAGACCCTAGGATCTCAGGACAATATACAGTAAGAACAATAATTACACAATTATAGTCACAATAAATGCAGCAGCAAAAACCCTTTAAAAATGAGCAGATATCTCATTTTTAAAGAGCAACAAGGGAGCAGATATCTAAAACAATTGCATTTAAGACAGCTCAAAACCCAACTTTATAGCATAAAATACAAAATACAACCAGACAGTGAAAAACACACAATGAGTTAAAACATGCCTGAGAGAATAAGATGGAATTTTTCTGGCACTGAAAGATCAACAAGAAAGGCTTCAGGTTCACTGTGGAAGGGGCATTTCAGATGCAGGGACGGGAGTGGACCAGTGAAAAGACCCATTTATGAATAGTCAGCTGCCAAATCTCGGTATGGAGGGGCACTCAAAACAGCACCTCCAATGATGAGCTTCATGGTATGGGTAAACACATCACTGTGGAGTGTACAAAAACTTGGCAGTGTCCAGAGTGCAATGTGATGTTGCTGATAGTAGCACTTGAGAGAGGTAAGATCTGGGCAAGCCGCTGTCCTTTGTATTAAGCTTAGACAGAAGGTAGAGGAATGTCAAGCAGCTGCAGAAGCGATCCTGCAAAACGCATTCCAGCACCCTTCCTTTATCAGTCATGATGAGTTCCATAGAGATTAGTGCATATGTGCTGGGTGACCGCTTCCAGCTGGATGAAATGCGAGCAGGATCTTCCTTTGACAAGCAAAGCATTTGGTCCTTCTATCTAGGCACCAGCAGATACTAACAATGTTGTCTTAATCAAAGGGCAGCCTTAAATGAACTCTGAGAAGTTTATGCTACAGATGCCACAGAGGTCATATATGTTGCTAGCAGTATGCTTATTTAATTATTATTAACTTTCAAAATCCCTTTCCTGCCTAGAAAAGCAATTTGGAAGAAATTAACCCAATTTAAAACAATCAATGCTTAAATTTTGTTTTGTGCCAACAAGCCCATGGTCATTTTATCTACCCTCCAGAAGACTATTCCCATGTGACCTTCACAAGTGAGATTTTTAAAATGGTGTGGCACTATTTGTGAGCTGGACCTTTGTGGGATACAGGGTTGGATTTCAAGTCAGGTTTTGTTGGTGAAACTTGAGTTTTTGAGTGGCAACGGCGTGTTACACACAAACAAGGTCTACCTCTTGATTTTGCCATGTCTTCCTTGTTTCAGCCTGCAGGATTTCATACTTACTTTATTTATTTACTTTATATCCCACCGTTGTTCTTGTTGATTTTTTGTTCCTTACCAATGGTTGCTGCTGCTGGGGACAGGAAGAGCTACTGCACAAGCAAGTCGCTTGGCAATCCTGGCGTGCAGCAGTCCTTGGCACGGGGAGGAAAGCGTGATTACCTGCCCCAGCAGTTAATCCCTTAATTATTGATGCTTCTAAGCACTTGTTCAATCTATTTGGATGATAGTGAGTTTTAGTAATTCAACAGTATTTTTTATTTATTTTTAAATTAGATTTCCACTCCACCCATTAGTCAAGATTAGCTTAATTAATTTTATTACTTGTATTACTGGTTTTAATACTGTATTTATTTTTTATTTGTTGCATTTATATGCTGCCCCATAGCCTATGTAGCCCATAGACACAAACATAGGACCGCACCTAACATAAAAATAATAGATAAAACAATATCAGTGAAAACCTGATTGAGTGATACTAATACAAACTACAATGTAAAGTACAAAGAGAAGGATAAACAATAATAGCAACAATAAAACCAGCAGCGGAAAACCAAATAAAACAGAATCCTAAAAACCAATATTAAATAAAAGACCTTGACTTGGCAATGAAAACAAAATAATGTGGGTGCCAGTCGCACTTATCTCGGAAGGGAATTTCAAAGGTGGAGTACAACAAGAGAGAAGGCTCTTTTCCTTGCTAATTCCTCCCTCCCCCACATCATTTGGGGGAGGGGTTCACAAAGGAGGGCCTCCATTGAAGAGCTGAGTGATCTGATAGGGATATAGAAAGACAGACTGTACAAAGCAACCTGGAAATAGCTAATGCTACATGCAATTCTACCATTAGCTTCTACCTGTATTATTTGGAACTCAAATGGCATGAATTTATGGCATGGCTCACGTGTTTAAAAAAATCCAGCCCCATCTTATTTATTTATTTTTACATTTATAAATTGCACCCATGGTCCTATAAAGGACTATACAAAGAGATAGGATGAGGAATAATACGTATAGAAGCCCAATGGGATTTAAACCCTCTTCGTCGCTACCCCATGGCCAGCAAAATGAATATGAATATAAATATAGTGCTTCCCACTGATGACCAGTTTTGGCTGATTTTTCAGGTAGGGAGAACACAAACCTGAGAAGCAGCTGCTGAGACATCTCCCTGTAAGCCTTTGTGGTTATGACTTGCTATACAGAGTGTGAAAGAAAAGTGGGGATAACCAGGGCGGCCTTAAAAGGTTATTTTCATGACGGGATGTTTCTTCCCCCCTCTACTAATTGTTTCCTTTTAGAAATACTATATTTTCTTCTTTGTTCTCTGCCTAGGTCGTCATCTTGTCTACTTCAAGATGGGCTCCACTTCCATTGTGTCCGATCGTGACAAGACAACCTATGTGAAAGTGATTGAGTGAAGGCTAATGTGACGTAGAAGTCCAGTTCTGTGCAAGTTTACTCAAGAGTAACTCCTATTACATTCCATAGGACTTACTCCCCTGTAAGTGTGCGTAGGGTTAAGCCCCAGTCCAAGTAACAGGAAGTGGCAGCTGTTTGCATTCACAGGCAGACTGCTGTTGCATGCAAGGCAGCTTGGATGGAGAAGGAATTGCACTAGCACTCATTCTAATCTACAGAGTGTGAAACAAACTTTAAAGAAGAGACCTGCATGACCAGGATGAATGTGCAATAGGACGACATTTTAAAAATGTGACTTTGTCTTACGAAGCAGAATAGAATCCAAAATGTGATACACTGTGTGGCTCACCGTAGGATGCTGAAAAGTGACAGGCACCCTAGTGTGCTTATCTCAGTAGGGTCACACATGCTCTGTACAATTTGCATACAATTTGGATGAGAATTCTTCCCTTCCACAGGGAGTTTGGAACTGCCAGTTCAGGTATTTTATTTATGTAAGCAAGTAGGACTGTTAAACTTCGTATGTTCCAAAGCTAAAGTTCAAACCTCATGGAAGACAATCAATACTTTATTGTACCAAATATAAGAGACCAAACTTTGCATAGTCCTTGTGCACCAGATCAGTCTAGTATCTATTATTGCTGTCACCCAATTAAAAAAAAGTAGGGTGCAGTCTGTGTTTAGATAGTAAAAAGTCCTAACACCTAGCGTTTTCCAGACAGCATTGCCCTTTACTGTCAAAACATGCATAGGACTGCATCCTTAATTGATTAACTGTATCAGTTCTAATGGGAAAAAGCTCCCTAAAAGAACTAAAGGGCATACTTTGCTTCTTGCAGATGCATAGCATGGATCAGGAAAATTATAGCAGAAACATTCCTCTGTTGCTTCGATAGAGGAAGGAAGTGTTGCAGTTAAGTTGTTTGGCGTTCCCAAACATTTTGATCAGTGGGCGCATTTTGAATTTTGTGGAACCTTCATGGGTGCTTTCATAAAGTGGCTTATGGGTGAGGCTCTTGCCCAGTAGCTGATTCCAAGGCAGCAGTGGGTTTGCTCTCCAAAGCATAGTCTATCTTTTGTGAGTCCAAATAAAGGTGGTGCTGCAGGGTAGCCCTTGGCTTTGCAGTCTCCCAGTGTTTCTATGTTAAAATGTTGGAAGTATTTTAAGAAAAATAAAAATCAGGAGGGCATTGAGCCTGGCAGGCACCGAGAGACATATTACAGTCCACAGGCACTAAACTAAAATAAACAATAGCCATATGTGTTGGTTGATGCATGGGATGGATTTTTCTTTATATGGTGATATGTATTATTTCACTTACAAGAAAATATAATAAACTAATGCCGTCACATCTGGAGCCCTCCTGCTCATTCTGCTGAGTAGGTAGGTCCCTGGACATCTGCCCCAAAATCACCACTGGAAAGAATGTCTTTTTAAAGATAGCACTTTCCATCTGCAGGTTGTATAACTATTTCTTGATTAAGTTTTCTATCATGTTGAACAAGAGCACCTTTTCAGTTGATTAACATGTTTTTAATCAAATGCATTAATCAACTAAACAATGCAGGCCTAGGGTTTGTAGATGAAATAATGCTGTCAACTTTCACTTTAAGAAATGAACTGGGAAGATGTCGATCACTTTGATGGGTAGAATAAAGTAAGCTGCATGCTGCAGACACCCATGTTACATCTATCTCTGTGAACGCACCAAATAGTGCTTCAGCCCTAGCTGCTTCAGTTTACACATTATGCATTTAGGGTAAAGTCCAGTGCAGTTTTAAACAGAAAAAAATATCTGTCTTAACTTGTATGGGATTTTTCGTTTAGGGAAAGTAAAAGGGTATAGGGCATTGCTAAGGTGAGAGCTAACCCTACTCTTTCTTGGGGGACTTCAACAGTTCCGGGCAATTATCGCCTGTTTTACTTTATCCTATATAATCCAGTTGGATCTTTGACAATCAAGTGTGCACCAATTCACACAGTTTCTCTTGGGTTTCATTTCTTGCATATGGCAGATTAGGACAATGGGACTTAAAAGGAGGGGGAAAGCCCTGCAGTTGGATTCATGCAATCCTAAATTCATCCATCAAAGTCCAATGGCATGTTTCATTTGTTTAGTCCCAGAATAATGGTTAATGTTGAATAGTTGATGCTAATTTGATTTAAACATTTTTATAAAGGTTTTGATACACGGGACGAATTGTGCCATTGACATTCTGCATGGATGGTCATGCTTGGATACTCAGGTTCATGGAATGGGCTATCCATGTTATTTTCCTTGGGACTCTACTATGAAAGATATTTTGGACTGCTGTTGGGTCCACTGGATTGTCTTGCCTTAAAGAAATCTGGTATAACTATTGTTCAGAACACTTGATGCAAGGCAGGAGCAACATGTTTGGACTGACCATTTGTATTCACAGTATCGCTCACACATCAGGAGAGCAACTGAGAATAACGAACAGCACATTTTTCAGGTTCTTGTACAAAAGATGCGTTTCTGCTACTGAGTCTTTGGAGTTTTGAAGGTGCTGCTTACTAGCTTTAAGAACAAATGATCTTAACAACAGCAGATGAACCAGAGCCTTAATAATGCAATACAAATATCAAAATCTTTTCATAAGTAAAGTGTGTCTAAATAATACGCTTTCAGTGAAAGCAAATAAGAAAATGTTAAAAGTGACAAATGTCATGCTTTTTCTGGTTTGTGCGTTCAGAATCTTTTGTACATTTTGAAAATGTTTATTTTTGTAAGAAAATAAAATGAAATTGATGAGCTAGTTTTTGCAATGGCTGTGATTTCTTTTTTCTGTACTGCATTTTTGTTTTACACAGGATCATATTCCTGAGCCCATTTATTCTGAAATACAGTACTCCCTTTAATGGGGCTCTTCTCGAGTCAGCTGACTAAGAATAGATGCTGCAATCTTTTATAGAATGGCTGTGTGGCATGCAGCTTGACTTGTTTGCATACGGAATGCTTTGTCTACAAAATTCAACCTGGTTAACAGAGCCTGAAATCAAAAAGCATACAAGAGTAAATGTATAAAACAAGCCTGTACAAATTGAATCAATACAAATGTGGTGTGAGACTAGAATATAATATTTCACAAACAGGCTGAAATGGGTTTAACAATTACAGGAGCCACACCTGAAAAAAAAAAGCCAAATATTCCCCTTCTCTCCCATTGATTTGAGGTAAGGTGCAAATGATGCCAAACTCAGAGCATTTGTGTATCTAGCCCAGCTTTGTGCTGGTGGGTGGTTCACCCGGAGCTCTGACAGCCTTTATGATCTGAACAACCACAAGCATATTGTAGATTAATTAAATGTACAGCACTCAGAGAGCCCTAACAGGGCTATTGGCGTGGTCTATAAATTAAATAAATATTGTTGAAAACCATCCATAGAGCTTTGGGAGGGATAGAGATTAAAACAGTACTGCTGTCTACCAAATAATAACATTTTAAAGGTGTGTAGCACATAAGAGTTTCTAAAGTGCACATCACCATGAACAATTACTACAGTACCCTGCATAGGGTATCTAGTATTATAAACCTATTGAAAATGTGTGAGTGGGTGAGATTATTGCTGTTCAGCTATGATAGGAATGTCAAACCTCTGGCCTACAGGCCTAAATTAGCTCACAGAGGAGCCATGGCTGTCCCCTTGGAGTCCCCTTGGTTTCTGCAGAAGCAGGGCTTGGCCTCCAAGCACTGTCCCCATTAGAATTTCCACTGCTTGCAGAATGATCTCCTCATGGTGGCTCCTCTCGGTGCCTTCAGAGTATATTCTCTGTGCCAAGGCACAAAACTCCCTGCTTCTCAGTGGATGGACAACAAAGGAGGCAGAAAAATGCCATCACTGGGTCATTTGGCACCACACGCCATCCTGCTTGTTTGTTCACTCGTTTGAAGTTTTGTTTACCATCTGACTACTACTTTTCTTGGGGTGATTTCAGCATCCTTGACGTACCATGTTCGTGGCTTGATTGATATTCAAACAAGGACACAGTTCATACCTTAGTCTCCTCTTCACTCCCCTTCTGTTGCAGCATACCAAAACCCTTTGAGATTACGCAGCATATAAAAAGCTGTGTAGTGTGGTGGATAGTGTTTGGACTACACCTGAGCATTCAGGTTCAAATCCCCATTCAGTGGTGAAGTTTCTGGATGACCTTGGACCACAGGCAGTGCATGGAAAACTGTGCATAACATCTTAAGCTCTTTGAATAAAGAGCTGTTTATAAATGTAGTGGAACAAGTTCATTTAGGGTTGATAAACTTAGAACATGACAGAAAATAACAGTTACCTAATATAAATGTGGACAGAGAGGCAAAGTGGTCCAGTCTGGCATCCTTTCCAATTCAGGTTTGCACTGGATCCTATGAACATTAAAACATTAAAAAGACCCACAGGAGAGGAAGATACATAAAAGCTGTCCAGCAGGATTGATCCATACTGGATCCGTACTGGCAGATAGCTGTACATGTATAGGGTTTCCTTGCACTGAAAGCATTTTTATCATTTGTTCTGAATTTTGACTGGTTTATACATTCCCTTGGCTTCTTCCAACAGCTTCCTGCAGTTCTAAGGTAGGGAAGTGAAAGAAGACACCGGCTCTGTTCTAAACAATTGATCCCTGGGCTAAAAGGGAAATAAAATTCCTGAGATCAGAAGAGAGAGATATTATTTACACAGTGCAAAGTGAACTGTCAACTTCTGAAATGAACAATGTACCAGGCCATTTAACAAATGGGATGGTGAGAAATGAGGAGAAGGTAGGATTTTGTCTAGAAGAGACAGCATTCTTCAGAAATGTCAGCCCTCTATTCTCATTTGTTTCAGTTTTATTGCAAATTCCATCATGAAAAACTTGGATAATGAGTATTGAAATTCAGTATGGCTAAAAACAATGACAAGGTTCCTAGATTAGGTTAGGGTGGGTTTTCGTTTTTGTTTTTTTGGCAGAATATTACAATTAATAGCAGAGGATTTTTAAAAATTGTTTAGTCAATCTTTTCTACCAAATCTACAACCTGGGATCACCCCTGAAACTTGGTCAATTTTTATTACATTACCTAAAATGGAAAATGTTGACATTTGCAATAACTACAGAACAATACATTTGAAGAGCCATTTGGTTAAGGTTTCCTTAAAAATAAGGACTTTACAAGAAAAGTGAGGAGTGGGCAGGAGGCACTCAATTCGGATTCAGAGGAGGATTTGGAAACAGGGACGCATCATACTGCATTCATATACTTAGTGAGTTGGTGAGATGGTAAGATGAGTATGTCTGCTTGCTTTATTGACTATGGGAACGTTTTCGAGGAAGTAAAACATGACCAGTTAATGGAGTTGTTGGCAAACAACCGTAATTTTGATTCAAGAGATATTTGTATATTTGTATAATTAGAAACTTGTACTGGCTAGTTGGAGTGGTAGAATCTTTTCTGTTGAATTATGCCTAGAATCACACCCTAGATTCATCAAGGAAAGCCCCTCTAAAAGGTGTATCTTGGTCATCCTGCAGAAACTTGGTAAGAAGCAGGCTTGATGGACCTCCTTGGAAGCAGGTCACATGACAGAAGCAACCCCTAAGAAGGCTGTGACGGGGCCGGCCCTGTTCTGGCCACAGCACACGTTGGAGCTGTGTGTCTATCCGTCAGTTAGATGTATATTCCACCCGCTTCTGTACAACTTCTGAGAATTGCAGTCTTTTTTCTGTCAAAACTTACATAAGTTTGTATTGTTGCATGTCTATCATTTTAATCCGGGTGAAATTTGTTGCTTTTTAATGATCTTTTTGTTTGTAAACTGCCTATACTGGTTTTATTCTTTACTTCTGGCTTAATGTCTTTATCAGTGAACTCCCTTTGTATGATTTTACTTATGAAATAAACTGTTTCAGTTCAAAAAGGTGGCCACAAAGCCCCAATACAGGCTTGCTCTGTGAGGCAGTTTGTTGTGGAGACCTGTCTAAAGCATGGCCTGAGTAAAGTGTACTTAGCTGGGAAAGAAACACACAGAAAAAATTAAATTCCTAGACATGCTTTTGTGGTACATTGTAGGGCATGTGGTTCTTCCCTATGTTGTAAAAACACTGAAGAACAGTTCATTAGTGGGTTGGGTTTTTTTTTACCATATCACTTGTCCAAAGGAGGTAATGGGAGAAAGAGAATGACTGGAATTATCCATAAGGAATTATCCATCAGAATTACATATCAGAAGTGATTGTTATACTGGGTGGGTTTGGACAACCTGAAAAGCCATAGTGTGTGTGGTTTTTTTTAAACTATTGTTAGTCTGTCATTGTCTGAACCCAACTGGGGCATTTCACCATGGTTAAGTTTGGCTGTTGGAAAGCCAGATAAGGAACAACAGTTTGCTTTATAGTTTCTATGTACCACCGTGGCCTGTCATGCTGTCTGTTCCCAGGATCATGGTTTCCATGGTCCTGGTATGCAACTACCAAAGAATCCCCTGGAAAGATCAGCAACTGCATTGGACGCTCCAATTATCCAGCCTCTATGAGCAGACCACTGAAGAAGAAGCAAGCAAAGTGGGCAGGTAACAGTGCACCTTGGGACTGAATTTCTGATGTGGCGGCTGATGAGATACATGCCAAGAGTGGAAGAACTGAACAGGGAGGATAGAAACCATGATAACTATAGAAAATACTTGATCATCTGTCAGTTGGATCATGGTAAAAGATGTGAACTGTGGTCACTATGCAAAATTGCTTGTTGTGTTGTGCGAACCCAGCACTAGCCATGCCTTCCGAAATATCTTTGTTTTCTTCTCTGTGCAGCATTTTTCATGAGTAGCTGTGGGGACTGATCATTGTTTTGATCTTATTCTTTGGAAAATTGTGAAAATCTTGTTGTAGTGTCCGTTAGTGAATGTTTCCTGTGGGCATTAATATAACAAGCCATGCTGAATCAAACAAAATCCTATTTAGGCATTCTGTATGCACAGCAATCAATCAAATGCCCCAAAGGAAACCCCATAACAGTCATTAATGCAGTAACAACCTCTGGCTTATGTTCCCAAACTACGGGCACACAAAATGTTACTTCCTAGTGACAATATATAATGGCAATATATATTGTCACTAGTGACACTAGTGACAATATATAGCCATCTTGACTAGACATTGTTAGCCATCTCCCCCATGAATTTGTCTATAAAAGCCATCCAAATTTGCTGCCACCACTACAACTTGTGGGAGTAAATTCCATGATTTGACTGAAGAAGCACTTCTTTTTATCTGTACTGATTTCCACCATTTATCTTCACTGGATGATTCTGAGTTCTCATATTATAAAGATGCATACTTGTAGATTCCTCTATCCTTTTGCAAACTTTTAGTATTTCCCCACTGGGGAGTTGATCAGCTTAGCTGAATCAAAATGGAAGTAGTTTCTGCCCCCTTTCAAGCTCTACAATATCCTTTCTGAAGCACGGTCACCAAAATGGAGGATATAAGGAGCTTTGGCAATCCAAGGAACTCTACTCTAGCACTGATCCTCCAGGAATGTAAGAAAACATAAGAAGGGAGCACTAAAGCAAGAACTTTTAGGCTGAAATTGGAAAGGAGAGAATTACACCACCTTACCAGAAAGAAGCATATGTACACCAGCTGGAATGTTGGCAAAGTTTAGATAACCAAGGCTAGGCTTTTCATGAATCAGTTACTCAAAAACAATAAGTGTATATTTCAGTTCATTTGTGTCTTCTGTTTTGCTAATCATCACTTGGCTTGTTCCT